CCCGCTGGCGGCTTCCGGTGGCTCCGGGACGAGCTCCGGGCTCCGGCATGCGGGAAAAGAGCTGGGAATTCCCTGCGGGTTGGTCTTGAGCAGCCACCAGAGGGGGATGAGACTCCCCCTTTTCCAGAGTTTTGGCACCCGGGGCAGAGCGGGGGGACTCGGCCGGCACCGCGCGCTTCCCGCTGCTGCCGCCCCGGCGGCCGCTCTGCCCTGCTCCCCCGGCCGCCTGTCCGAGTCGTCTCCCTTTACCAGACTTGGGCAATTCCTGAGCATGGCAAGGTGATTCCCACTGCCAAATTTGAGGCAATTTTTGAAGTGTTTTGTTAGCAGCTTTTGCTTAAATAGAAAAAACTCGGCGTGCGTGCTCAAGCAGATGCAGATGCATGCGCTTCCTCGCTTAAATGTGCAGGATTTTTGTACAACCTGGTTCTTGGGAAAGGATAAAATTGTCAGGAATACGTGATCCAAGGTAGGCATCCGTGGTTAAAAATGTCTCCTGGACGGTGGGTGCTGGGGGCTGCCTCAGGCAGGGTGATGTGCACGGGCTCCTCCGCGCTGTGCTCCAACACTTGGGAGCAGCAGCAGGGGCTCCCAAATTGTTCTACACTAATTACACTAATTACTGCACGGGAAGCAGGAGCAGAGGTGCTGGCCCCCGTGTGCCCACAGCAGAGCCTCCTTTCCCCAGCTCTGCAGACCTTCGTGCTGGCACCGCTCACACAGCTGCCGACGGGCTCCCCGCTCCGCTCCGGGCGGTTCCCTGTCTTCGGCCGCGGAAATCCGGCCCGTGTCCGCCCGGGTAGGATGTGCGGGGCCGGCTGCAGCAGGCAGTGGTGCCCATGGAGCGGGATGTTAGTTGGTGCTGGATAGGGAGCAGCTTCTGCCTTAGGGCAGGAGGGGACCAGAGGGCCCGGCCGCGTGCAGACCTGGTGCTCCTGGTTTAGCCCTGCTACCTTTTGGTGGCCTCCAGCTGCTCCTTCCTGCTCCGATGGGTTGCTCATGCCTTGCTCCCATATCCTGCTCACGCTTTTCGCTCTACACCCAAAACCGTTATCCAGGCAAAGCTATTTTGTCCCAAAAGCCTTTTCTGCTTTACCATATCCTGCTTCTGCTTCTCAGGTCCCTGTTTGTTGCCTTTTCATCTCCCTCTGCTCTGTGTTTGGAAAAGTCTCTGCTCATGTCCTCAAAGGACTTTTTGGATCCCTTCCCCAAGTTCATCTCTTCCCCTCCTCCTCTTTGCTGGATCCCACTTGATCCCTGTGCCCGCTGCCTGTTTGGCAGATCCTGTAGTCTAGTAGCATTGGAACTCAAATGGATTTTGTTCCTCTGCTGCTGCTTGTGCAGAAATGCCTGTGTTTCGCTTTACCGCAGTCCCATTATTTATTTGTGGCAATAATTTTTGTGCAGATGAAGAGATAAATTTATGAAATGCTTGGCATTTGGCAATACATCAATTAGGAATAAAATCCCTGGATATTTGGGCTTTTGTGCAGATTCCAGTTCTCGTTTTCGCTTTGCGGGGGGCCGGCAGCCCCGTTGGGTAGCAAGGCCACTGAGGTGACACGGTTTGAATCGGGGTGTTTGTCCCATGTGTCTTCTGATGTGCTAAAGGACACCTCAGCTTGCTGAAATCACGTAGGTTTTATCATATAGGTATCTTATAAATCTATCTGCCATTCAACAGTACTCAAGATATCATCATTCTGATCGTTTGGAATTAATGATTTGTTATGCTGCTTGTCCTACATATTCGCTATAATTTGGATCCTACCCCAAAACTTCCGACGTAGCTTCAGTAGAAAATCCTCTTCCGTTAAATACATAACACTCATTCTAGGTGCTTTTTATTATTTTTATTATTATTTTGCACATGTAAAGCTAGATGGTTTTACCGTTTTCTGCATGGGAAACTGCACTCAGCTTTTCCAGGAATCTTCCTTGAGAAGAACAACCATGTGCAATCCTGGAGGAGCTCAGAGCAGGGCCATGGCTCTGCCTCGGCCTTCACATAGGTAGTGTTTAAAGTCACATTGGGTGGTGACATTAAATGACACCATCCGGTGTGTTCCCTCCCTGCTGCTCAAGCTAGATGCGCAGAGCAGTTTCAGTCGCATTTTACAAGAGCTGGTTGATTTTGGGGGGCGGGTTGTGGGTTCTCAGAAGTTGGATGATGTTGAAAAAATGAGCAGCAGCCGCAGGGCCCCGCGAGGTCTGTGTGTGTTGACGTGGACTGGGGCAGAGCTGTCCCCACGCGTACGTGCACGCGTGGGAGCGCGGAGGGATGGAAGCTGCGCCAAACACCGGATCAACCGCGCTCCGCTTCACCTGCTCAACTCCGGGGCACTTGGACCAACTGTTTGAGTCCTGGGGGTGCGTTTCCTTTCTAAGGGGATGCCAGAAATATTAACGGAGACTCTGCAAGCTCAGTGAAAGGAGTTGGCCAGTTAGTTGTGTCTCTGAACCTTCAAAAATAGAGCAGAAAAGTCCCTGTGAACACGGGTACTACCTGGCACGCGTGACTTGGTATCCAGCATCTTCTCATTTGGATTCTTCCTTTTTTTTTCTTGCAGTTCTTTGAGGTTCCCTTTGACTCCAATATGAACCGGACGAAAAACAGACCACTGGTGCGGGGACAGATCAGGTAAGGCCCTAATGCGTCTCCAGGCTTCCCTCTCCCTCTCCTTCTCCTCCACATGAGGGAGAAGAGGCCCTTGGAAGGCTCTGAAGGAGCAGCTCTCTGCTCTGATACGTCTTGATGCTTCGGGCCGTTCTGTGTGAAGTTTGTGTTATCCGTTGTCCTCTGAACTGCCAATTCCTCGGGAGAGCAGCAGCACTGCTCGTGTCGCCCTGCTGCAGGGGAACAAAACCTGGCAGCAAGTAGTTACATTCCACTAAACTTCTGCATTAGTTTCTGCTGATAAAACTGCAAAATTTCACATCTTAAACAAATTCCAGATCATAGAGTGGATCTTTTTCCTATGCCCATTTGTCTGTTAGATCGCACATATTCATTTAATTCCCTGAGAAAACTATTTGGAACCCATTTCCTTTACAGCTTTATAAGTTGTCCCACTGAGGTCCTGTTAATGATCACCTGAGCAGAGAAATGTTCTCCTTTGGCTGTTTTGTGTGGTACCATGTGGTCTTTTGTACGTATTTATTATAAAGCTGGAATGAAAACCGAACGTAACATCTTAGTAACAGAATTTTAGAATTTATCATAATTTAGCTTCTCACCATCCTGTATGTTAATGCAAGAAACCACCCAGTATTAACATAGGCTTCCCCTTAAAAAAAAAAATCCTTCCGTCGCTCGGATTTCTGGATTAAATATCGGTTCAGTTTCTCAAAGGCTTGTTTCCAGCTAAGAAAACAAAACGAAAGGGAACAGCAACAAAAACTATAACTTATTTGCAAACTGAAACTGAAAGCCCAATTCATAAATGATTCAACAAACAATTTTAGTATTGCATTTCCATGATTTGAGCCAAGGATTATTTATAACAAAATTATGTTTTCCCTTAGGCTTCTGTGAACAGTTGGTCCTATTTATTTCTGTGTTTTATCCATCACCTTTGGAGGACTGAGAAAAAGAAATGAAAAAATAAAAATCTGATGGATGAAATTACAAGAAAATGGAGACAAAATAGCCAGGCGAGCCCTGGGGGTGAATTCAGCCTCCCTGTAAATACAGCACTTTGATAAAGTTGTTCCGATTTGTTCTGTGAGATGCTGCTGATTGCAGCTTCCTGCGTTGAGTGGCCTTTGAGTTTGACGTGTTCCGGGGCCGGGGAGGCTGCTCTGCTGCGCCCTGCCTGGCTCCTCCAGCCCTGGAGGGAGGAACCCTGCGTTCCGCCATTCCAGCTCCTCAGGCATGGAGGAGATGGAGGGGATATGTTTTCTTTTATTCTTTTTATATTGTCTAGTCTAGAGGCCAAAATACAGTTCAGGAACTTTTGGACGACTCTGGATTCAGAGCAAACAATCTTTCTAAGAAGTTCCCAGACCCTGAAATGAACTTCACTGTCATCTGAATGCGTCGCGGGTTGGCCAAACCCTATTTAACCTATTTTTGTACTTTTTTCTTCCCCCTTTCATGTTGGCTTTCCCCACAAAATGGTGATATTGGGGACCTTGGATAGTCGCTCACCAGTCTCTCTACGTGCCTGTCAGCAGCAGCCCTTAAGTGACTGATGCTAAAAGCTAGTCCAGAACAGAGCAGTTGGAGAGGAGTCAGTGACACACCAGAGGCTGATCCCTTAGCTTAGGGAAAGCATCCTGCCTGCTGAGCAACTGCCCTGTGACCAGCCCCTTTTCAAAGGAAAATGCATATTCGGGACAAGTTTTTGGTGCTTTGGACAACTGAACCTTTTGGATACCTTTCTGAGTCCTTGGAGAACCATGCGAGCCCCGAAGGTCTCCGTGTGTAGGAAAAACAGTCACGTGTCCCCTTCTCTGCTAGTGCCCGGCCACTGTCCCCAGACGTGTGGCAAGCAGCACCTGATGTAGCTCATCAACCGCTTGCCTTGCAGCATCCTATTTAATTTGTAGGGAGCTCAGGGATAAAGAACATTTTCCTTTGAGAAGTGAGACGTAACCGTCCGCCCACCCGCCCGTCCTCCCCGCTCCCGTCCTGCAGGTCTGCCCTGGGAAGCTCTCAGAACGCTCCTGGCGCTTGAGCAGCTGATGCTGCTGATTTGCCTGGGAGGGATTGGGGCTTTCACCGTCACTGGCCGGCAAAATTTGGACGCTCTTGCGCCACATCCGACTTGGCCGAAGCGCTGTCGGCCTTCCCGAGTGCTCTGAGGCCTGTGCTTTAGCCCCTGCTTTTTATAGAAACAGATGGAATTTTCCCGCAGGTTAATTTTAATAAACATCACGCCGTAGCGGCGGCAGCTGAGGGGGCTGAGCCTGTCGGGTGCCGTGTGTCTGATCCGTGACGCTGGTGGCAGCGACGGCGGTGGCACCCTGGCGCGCAGAGAGAGGCCCTTTCCGTGAGCCTGCGGTGCCGCTGGGTTTGCTCTGCTGAGCGCTCACAAAAACGTCGTAGTTGCACAAGAATGGCTTTTTGTCCAAAAAAAAAGGTGGTGCGGAGGTGGCTTTCCGTCTTAGTCATCCAACAGCGTTTTCTAATGACGGACCCGTGTGACCATGGTCCAGGTTGTGGTTCCACAGGGTTTATGCAGAATACACCTGCATTCTCCTTGTGCAGAATGTTTGCACTCTCAAGCTGGCTCTTCCTAGTGCATTTGAAGAAGTTTAAGTCTCTCAAGTTGGAATAAGAAGCTGCAACACTGCAAATGCCTCGGAGGTTTGCAAAGAAAGAAACCTGGAAGTTGTTTCAAAAATCTTTTCCCTGGAATCCTATAAATCTCCTCACTTAACAAAGCTCATGGAGTGCATGTGCAGGAAACACCAGCTTCCTGCATGCCTTGGCCACTGCAGGGTGTTATTGCAATTAGTGAAACTTGTGTCTTGCTTTTCCTACTCGTGGGCACACGTGAGCAAGGGTTGGCATTGGGCAGGCTAAACTCTAAGCCAAACTCTTGAAGAATCAAACCCAAAAAGAGTTTCAAAGCTCTGTCTCGCTGATGGGCTCATAGTTATGAGCAATTGCAAATCCGCAGCTTGGAGGGTACTGGACTGGTAGAGGAGTACCCAGTCCTGGGCCCTCCGTCCTTACCGGGGCTGTGTAGCTACCGTTGCCCTTCCCAGCCCGGCAGCTGCTGCGACGCCCTGAAACTTGGCCCTGCTGCAGAAAGCATCCTGCCCTCTCATCGTTGCTGGTAAGTCAGGGCGATTAATTAGCTTAATTTGTTGCCCACTGATGCTCGTGTAACCTGGGAAGGCGGGTTAGGAGGTCGCGGGGTCCCCGCTGCGAATGCAGGTCCGTGCGCGGCGCCGGCCCTGGGACCGCGCTGAGCACTGGGCCAGGCTCACGGCAGGGGTTGACGCTCTCCCTACAGGGCTTGGGTGCAGCTTCGGTTCCCGTTTAAAGATCGGCCTCTGCTTAGCTGCCTGCCCGGGTCCCCTGGGTGGTCATTTCACACAGGTTCCATCGTATTTCAGTTGAGGCAGATGTGACAGAAACGCCATAAATCTACGTCCTTTCCCAAATAATAATTTGTAAGAGTTCGGATGCTCGTTCCCCGCAGGGAAACGGTCCAGTATTTTGTTTAGAAAATACCTCATTTTAAAGGGACTGCCTTGAGATCTTCAGCATGATAAAGATGTTTCTTTTTGCAGCGGGAGGCTTTCCTCTTGTTTCAACAGGGCACGATTCAAAGCAGACCCCACTGCAGCAGCCTTTCCAGGCAACTTTCATCCTGCTTGTTTGCAACCTTCATCATCTCAAAACAAGAAAGTGCCTTTTGCATCTCCCCCTGCCTCCCGCACCCTTTAGGCTTCCTGTTTTAGCCCCCTGGTTCCCCAGAAGCAGCAATTACCTGAATTTGCTCAACAAGATGTTGAAAAAGCAGCTTCTGATTTTTGACTCGTCCATGGACTTGCAGAGCTGTCGTCCTCGCCGTTTTGGGCGGCGGGGGCGTTTTTGTTCTTTCTCTCTTTCTGGCGTGGGCCACTCGGGGAGAGGCGGTGGGAGGAAACCTGGGGGCTAAAACCCAGCTTAATGAGAACAAAACCCACATCAAAGGGTGGCCTAATGGCAAGATAAGGTGCTGACTGTGTCGCTTTCCCAGAGGGGATAGGGATGGCAGTGCTTAGATTTCAATTATCTCTTCGCTGTCTGCATGAGGTGTTGATTAAATGGGTCTAAGGTATTAGAGCCTGTTTGTAGGAGCCACGGGAAAATGGAGATACTGCCCATTAGCCCCGATCAAGATGCGCATGAGCAGGACATTGCAGAGCTCTAACTGAGCTCGGTTGTTCGGGAGGCGGCCGCGGGGTTGTTGTAGGGGTTGTTCAGCGCCGCGTTCGGGTTGTTTTGGCCGCGAGCGGAGCGGCTCCCGCGCGCCGACCAGCTCCTCGAGCCCCGGCGGCGGCGCGAGGGAGACGTGTCTTGGGCAGCAACTATTTTATTTACAAATGCATTGAGGAGGACGCGGGATTGCATGGAATATTATGTTATAGATCACACCATAAAGGAGCGGGAGCCTCCACGGAAAATTGCTGCCCTTGAGTAGCAATAATATGTCCATGCCCTTTGTATAGAGGAGAGTTTTTTAAAACTTTTTCCCCTGCAAGTTTGTAAAATACAGATCTGGAAGGAATCATTTTAGATGAAAAATCCAAATAATATTGAAGACCCAAAATACAACTGTTCTCCTCCTCCCAAGCTTGGCCTTGGTGGAGCATCCTGGGACACAGCAGCCCTGGTCTAGATACTCTTGTCTTTTAGAGGGGAGATGTGATTTTACCTTGTTTTCCCAAAAGTGTTTATTTTTTTTCCCCGAAGTGTTCAGTTTTGCAGTATGGAAGAGGAGCCCTAAATTCCAGTGTCCATTCAGAGATGGAGCCTCTGAGGGGTCTGTCCGCAGAGCTCTGGGCCGGGGTCACATCCTCCTACTCCTCCCATCCCTGAGCCTGGAGTCCCCAGCGGTGCTGGCGGGCGGGAGGGGACAGTGCTGGGCTCGTCCCCATGGACACGGCAGCCCCAGGTCATCTCATGCAGCGGGTTGTGTT